CGTATGAACGGACACACACACACATACTAGCCGGTAGGCTGGTTGGCGATCCGCTTTGCTTAAAAAGCAAGCAGCTTGTTTTCGGCTGTTGTCACGGTAGGACATGAACGTGAAGCTAACGTCGGTTTATAACTAAAACCAAGTCTCGTATAGGAAGTTCGCAATAAACAGTCAGTCTTATAAGTCTTTTTATTTTATTGTTAGGACGTATTCTGTTAAATTTATTATTTCCAACTGTTTTGCGATAGTATTTTCTAGATTGAAAGCAGCATTTACAGTTCATTCAAAGTTGCGTTGGGATTACGTTGATACAGTGTAACAATGTCGGCGTCTCTTACCAGTGCACAACGTAGCCAAAATAAAAGTCATGATCACTTGAACACTGCTATTACAAGATGGTATGAGGTAATAAATTTGGGACGAAAGTATTCAAAAATCAGTTTTTGGCCGTTGCCATGGCAGTGTTGAGCCAAGTTTGTTTTCAATTAGTGACGGTACGACCTGTCTTTCAAGTATAGACAAAATCAGCCAAGCCAAGCCAAAAAAAATCACAGAGCAGTTAAAATTATCCCAACTTTCAGGTCAATTTTCTCTGTAATGAAAAAAGCTATAAAAAAACTTTATACCCACACTCAAGCTGAGTAGAATGAGCTACGTCCGTGCTTTTTAATTGTAGAAATGTAGGGTGATATAGATTTGGCGCAAATGCATTAAAAAATTCAGCGTTTTGGCTGTTGCCATAGAAACGGTGGGCCAGAATTTATTTTCAGATTTTACAACCTAACTAGAGTGAAAGTGTGACTTGCCTGCCAAGTTTGAACCAAATCGGCTCAGCCAAAAAAAAAAAAAAATCACAGAAAAGTTAAAAAGCCAGGAACACACGGTACGAGGTTTTACCCAGAATTCAACACGTTCTGTACCAACGCATATTGCTATGCGCAGAACTGAAATTTTGGCATCGTTCTGCGCAAAAACCGTTTTTAGCGCTTGAGTGTTCCGGG